ACTCTGCACTGAATGGCTGACCTGACCTGATGTCCATTCAACCCACCCTCTTACAGTTCAGACTTTTCTCCCTTCTCTTTCTAAGAGAGCTGAACTGGGCAGACTGCAAAATAAAATCTCGGTGTTCTATTTATTTATTGTCTTCCTGTAAGACCTTTGGGTCAAGGCAGAGGCAGGAAACTAACTGGTGTGAGTTAAACGCCCTCTGAGTGACTGCCCCCAGCCCAGGCAAGAAGACTCCCCTTCAGGTGCCGGGCGCAGGAACTGTGTGTGTCCTACACAATGGTGCTATTCTGTGTCAAACACCTCTGTATTTTTTAAAACATCAATTGATATTAAAAACAAAAAAATTATTGGAAAGTACACATTGGCTCGTGCTTCGTTCTTTCATCTGCTTTCCATTAGTGCTTGGTACTGTGGGCATGCCCACACAGCAGTCCTAAGACCTCCTTCTGTTGACTTTTCAACCTAATGTGAGGACGCTGAGGCCACACTGCCTGGGTTAGCAACCTCGCACGAACATGAGCTTGCCTCTTTGGTCAGCCTTGGAACTGTGTGGAACCCAGTGGTGAACAGGGTCCAAAGACCAGGATTTGTGGTGGGAGGTATGCCAGAGGGATAGCCTTGCCCTCCTCAGTAAATAAATGCAGCTCTATGGCAGATGAGTGCAAGAGCTTGTCTTCTGAGCTTAGGGAGTGAGACCACATGTGGACTGCATACTGCTAGATGGGAGAGGTAGGAGTTACTCCCATGGGAAGGCAGGGTGGAGGAGGGGCAGGAGGGTAGGGGAGTGGATCCCGCAGGGCCTGTGACAAGTACGCACGCTCAGTCTGGATAAGCTATTCATTTGTCTCTTTCTATAAGGTCAAGAAGAGGTGGAAGTGTTACCCTCCCCTCCATATTTCCCTTTCCTGCCCTGTCCCTCTGGCTCCCATTCTTTATTTCCTGCGCTTCAGACTTTCATGGACTTCCTCTGAACCCCAGAGGATGGCCGCCTACTTCTTCCTATCCTCAGGTGTCCCTTGTTTTCCAATGACTCGAATGTGTGGCAAAAATGAGCAAATTGTCCCCTTCTCCACTAGAGGGCCACAGTAGTGGGGATGTACGAAAGCGAGCAGGAGACACAAAACCGATCGGAATCGACGACAGTGGTATTCTGTGAAATAAATTTCAAAAGATACTTGGCGTGACTGATAAACGAGAGGCCCATCCCTTGCTCTGTGCCTTTCTCCCATCCTCGCCCCCACTTCCCCTATGTTAAGGTTGACCGCTTTTCTATTGGAGAAATGATTTTTTTAAACGACATTTTTGTTGGATTTGTTTGTATTAACACTCAACTCATGATATAAATTTACTGACTAAAGTATATCGTACCTGAGCAGGTTCATGACAAGATAAAGGAGTAAAGTGAAAACATGATCATTAAAAACACATCATTAGAATGGCTATCTCAATGTAAAATAAATAACACTTCCACCTACCAGTAGAGCTAATGAGGGACAGGGGGAGAGAGGGGAGGTATGTGGGTGCTTATGAAAACTTTCCCTTGGACAATAACTGGAGCTGGATAACTGAGTTCCATTCCAACCCGTTAGTCAGTCTTCGGGGCCCACCCTACCTCCTTGCTCACTTTCTTCCTCACTCTGCTGCAAGGTGCCAGAGCTATCTACTCTTATTTATTTAGAACAGGGGGTCTCACTCTGTCACCCAGGCTGGAGTGCAGTGGCACCATCACGGCTCACCGCAGCCTCGACCCCCTGGGCTCTGGTGATCCTCCCACCTCGCCTTCCCAGTAGCTGGGACAATAGGCACACACCACCACACCTTGCTAACCTTATGTGTGTGACTTTTGTAGAGATGAGGGCTTGCTATGTTGTCCAGGCTGGTCTTGAACTCCTGAGCTCAAGCAATCCTCCTGCCTCAGTCTCCCAAAGTGCTGGGATTACAGGCAAGAGCCACCACTCCCAGCCAGAGCCACCTACTCTTAATAACACAGGTCAGTAGATTGTGACCATCTGCTTAGACCTTTGTAAGAGAAGTCCCAGGATATCAGTGATTCCTTGCACTTCACCCACTTCCTGAGTGCCTAGTAAAACCTGCACCATAGGAAACTGAGGGGTGAAGAAGCAAGAGCCCAGGGAAAAGCCACAGAAAGCCCCAGCTCTGCCCACATCTAGAGTCAATTCGAGTCACATATCTCTGGCTGGGAGGGCTGTTTCCCTTCCGCTGCTTCCTTGTCCAAATCTGGCCCAGGGGGGAAGGTGAGAATAATCAGGATCATTACTAACTTCTGTACTCCCTGATGTCCCCAGAAGATAGACAATCCGTCCAGCTAAAATAACCTGTTAGATAAATTTCTGACCACAGCAGGGTTGAGTAAACCAGGACAGATCCGGCTTGCTGATTGTGAGGGCTGGGTTGGGGAACTTTCCCTCCCTTGAGTCTCCTCATCTCTACGAAAGTGTCCGGCATCAAAGGCTTTGAACTAGGAGTGGACTAGGAGTGAGTAGTCTGTGCTCCAGCTAAGACTGACTCTCCAGTCCTCTGGATTCTGAATAAGCCATGGTACATCTGATATCGCTTCCCTTTCTAAACAATTGAAGGAACACAGAATATTAAGAAATGTTGACAAGATAATAATTTTTAAGGCAAAGAATATGGATTATTTTGCCCAGAGAAAATATCTGGGACCCTATTGATTCATGTAGTGCTTTTAACAAAGGCTCTTTTTATTTTAATTGAGTTGGAGTCTCACTCCATCGCTCAGGTTGGAGTGCAGTGGCACGCTCACAGCCACCCCAGCATCAACCAGCTGGGGTCAGGAGATCCTTCCGCCCCAGACTTCCAAGTAGCCAGAATTACAGGCACACACTACTATACCCAGGCTTATTTTTTATTCTTTTTACTTATTGTAGAGATGAGGTCTCACCAAGTTGCCCAGGTTGTTCTCGAATCCCGTGGGCTCAGGCAATCCCCTCACCTCAGTCTCCCAAAATGCTGGGATTACAGGCTTGAGCCACCGTGCCCAGCCAAGTTGATTCTTTTAATACTTTGTTTCACACCTTGGGTTAGGAATCCTAAGAGAATTGACTCAGAGATCTTAGGGGGTCCTACTTTGGGGTAACTAGGGCTACAGAATGGTTGGTGGAGGTAAACTGTGGCCTACATGGGGCCTACAAGGGGGTGAGCATAAAAGGCTTGTGATGGTGTTTTAAACTCTGTGAATTGGACAAAACAGACCAGAAATCACAATCTTTGGCATACAGCAGGTACTCAATAAATACTTTTTTGGAATGAGTAAATTAACAAATGCATGGAGATTTCTGCATGCAGCAACTCTTTAACCAAGTGACCTGACGTAAGTAGTTTGATATCAAGAAAAAGGTCAAAAGCCGGGCTTGGTGGCTCAGCCTGTAATTCCGCACTTTGGGAGGCTGAGTGAGTGAAATGCCTGAGCCCGCGGGTTCAAGACCCGCCTGGGCAACTTGGCGAGACCTCATTTCCACAATAAATAAAAAATTAGCTGGGTGTGGTAGCGTGCACCTATAGCTCCAGCCATTTGGAAGGCTGAGGTGGAAGGATCGCGGGAGCCCAGCAGGTCGAGGCTGCAGTGGCTGGGAGCCGCCACCGCACTCCCGTCTGGGTAACAGAGTGAGACTCTAACCCTCCCCCCCCGCCAAAAAGAAAAAGGTCAGAGTATAGGTCAAGCCAGGAGTTACAGAAAAGACAGCTAGCAAAGCTTTCTCCAAGAAACATTCTGCATATTTTAATTCACTAGAAACACAATGCCAATCATGACACCTAAGTCAACTGATTTTCCTTTTTATTTTGGAGTTGCTGAGAGAATACTCCAGTCATTTGTTCAAGAATTGACAGACACTGTGATAGTATGCAGAGTATCCCAAAGTGAAGTATGGGATGCTAAGAATACAGAGATGAGAATTTTATAATATTATGAGATCAGATTTAGTGGGGTATGTTTAAACAATCCAAGCACTCTCACTTGAATATCATAGCTGGATATTAAGGTAATAGCAAAACAAGAAATGTTACTGAGGCACATGGTCACAAAAATGATTCAAAACTGAAGTACCAATGAGTAACTTTTTCAAAATTTTATGAAAAATGCTACAGAGATTATTTGGAAACCGGGAAAACGAAAGCGCCACTGTAACGTGAACATCTTTCATGTATTCAGGGCATGTTCTGTTTAAGGCAACACTCAGAAATGGTGCTCATTTTCTTCTGCAAGTGGTGATGTTCCACTGTCAATCACATCACAGTAATCACTGTCGAATACATGTCACTACATGGCCTGGTACAACACTGAAACTCGGTTTCCAGCCCTCAGCTTTTTTGGGTTACCCAATCATGGTCAACATCAGTTAAACAGTCATGAAATTTGCCTTAGTTTGAAGATAAAATCATTAAACAAATGTTGAAAATCAAGCTACGGAAATGGGGACAAAAACCAACATGGAATCCCAGCCACCACTTATTGTTGTTGGGGTTTCTTGAAGTCCCAGTGCCATGGGAAGAGCTGAGGACCACTTTGGCCTAGTTCTGAAACCTGACTTCTCAAGCTTCCCATTGAGATTCTCTGCCACCTGAGGCTGTAGCCCACCCTGTGGTGGCTGAGGGTGGCAACAGCTCAAAAAACTTTAAACCTCAAACCAGGTCCTCTTATTCAGGACTAAAGCCAGCAGTGGGGGCGGAGTGAGGGAGTTATTCCTTCTCCCGGAAGTACTCCTTTTCGGGCCTCAGACATCTCTGTCCTGCCTCTTCCAACCTCCAGTGGGCACTGAGTGCTCTTCTGGATGAGCAACAGGGAACCCATCACTGCCCCAAGAGGTAGATGGAGAAAAGTTGGGCTGCTTGCTGTGACAGGACTCATGGGGACAGAAGCACAATCAGGATTCCTTCTCTTTCCCATCCCACCTCAACCCACTCAGCAGCCAGCAACTATGCTGTGGCCCCCCAGAGGCAAACAGAAACACAGATGAAGCAAAAGCAGAGTTTATTTTTCTATCAAATCCCCAATCCATGTTCCAGCCAATGGATGAAGGGTAAATCAAGCCCCACATAGATTCTGGGTCAAAACAAAACAAAACAAAAACCACCAAAAAGCTTTTTTCTTTTTTTTTCATTTTAAAAAAGCTCCCAGCCATTTGGGAACAGATGAAACAAATTCACATACTAATGGATCTGTGCTTTCTTCTTCTAGGTATTCTGACGGTCCCCTCTGCTGCCACTTCTGCACAGATGGGACACCGACAATAGGCTACAGCTGCATTAACAGTCCTATTTCCATGTCACTCCATGGTTAGATAACCTAGAACCATGGTGTGACTCTCATTTATAATGTCTGAAGAACAGCTGAAAATAACTGAATTAAACTCTGCAAACCTTTATTGAATGCCTCCTATTTGCTGGGCACAGGCTAGGCCCTGGGCAGTGACTCTGCTGGTTGTGAGAAACGTAAATGGTACTGCAGAGAGGTTTTTTCCTAAGTGGCAGGAGGATGTTTGCTGGGAGTTAAGAGAACCAATTCCTCCTCTGTTCATACCACCTGGGGATGGTACAGAACTCAGAACTCAGGAACAGATGCTGTGCTCTCTTCTACAGGTGCTGCCGTGGAAGAACCACAAGCAGGTGCTAAACAGCTGTGGAATTTCCTCCACAATCCACATAGTGATGTGTTTCCAAGGAGCTCTGGGTCATGTGGCCAATGTATGAAATCTTCACCGATGTACTAGGGAAAAGAAAAGAAAGAATAATTCATTTTGTTTTGGAGATAAAATAAGCAAGAAAAATTGCCTACATAAGTTCTTGCATGTTCAGGCAACACCACCCAGGGGCCCCAGGCACATATCCTCATGGTTATGCAACCAGAAGGCTGAAAGATCTTTCCACATCCACAGAGATGCTGTGCCAGAAGATGACCTAAATAAGCGCATCTCAACTGGGAATGATTTTGCCCCACAGGAGACTTCTGGCAAAGTCTGAAGACACTTTGGGTTGTTAAAACTGAGGGGGAGGGAGGTGGTGAGTCTTACTGGCATCTAGTGGGTAGAAGCCAAGAACACTGTCAAACATCCTGCACCGCAGAGAACAGCTCCTTACAACAAAGAACCATCTGGCCCAAAATGTTAATAGTGCCAAGGCTGAGAAACCCTACTCTAACCCCTCATATTTCAAACGTCTGCAGTGGGCTTGTCACCTGCAAATTTAATCGACATGGTCAGGAATAACCCTAAAGGTCCATGACGTGTGGTAATCCGTGAGGTGAGAGAGAAAGTCTGGTCAAATGCCTGGTACTTAGACCTCGAGAAAGCCTTTCTGTTCATGACTGGTCTCGATAGGATTCTAAAGGGATCACAACTTGTGTGCTTAAACAAGTTTTCCTTTTCACAGAGAGCATTATATGTTTGACTGCTACTGTGGATCTGGGGATCTTTGAAGGAGATCTGGACGCTGCATCTAGAGAACACCAAGGAATCTACTGTATCTGTGCCTGCAAGGCAGTGGGTGTTCCCTCTTTGGCTAGGTGCCTGCCTCGTGGGTCACACAGGGGTCTCCTGAGCAAAGGTGGTAAGCTCAAGAGGCTGAATCCAGGCTGAAACACAGAGACCATCAGGCTAGGAAAAGAGCAACGTACCGCATGAAGATCACTATGTTGTGTACCAGGATGTCAGGTAACGTGCAGAAGAAGCTACCAAATCGCAAATATGGAAATGGTCAGTTTGGTTAAGAGAAAAGAAAAAGAGCATCAGCAGAAGAGTGCACAGTGACACTGTTCAACCGAGAAGCAGTCAGTTCTGCTTGGGGTGCCTCCCCTCCCCAACAGCCACACTTCTGATCGAGTACCCACAAGCATCATTCTCGTTCTCCCACATCATGATACTTTTTTGTTTTTTCAAACCCATCAGATAATGCTGGAGCTTGGTAATGCTTCAAGTGTCCTAGTGTTCTCTTTTAGGAATTCCAGCAGTTCAGTCACATATCAAATGACATATCCTCCAAATAAATCTCAAGATGGCCAAAGTTAGGGAGCCTACAGGTCAAAGGCTAACACTCAACACAGAACCAGGCCCCAATCAGTTGAGTATGACTTTGAATCTCTTTCACCCAGTAGAGAGCACACATATAGGGAATGTTGTCCTTACTACACATAGGAAAATGGTCTTCCCATCTCGGCCTTCCCAGTAAAATTCACCTGAAAATTAAGATACTGAAGTCAGTTTGTGGCCAGAACAGAATTATTATTAGCAATCCAAGAACCCTGGATCATTTCTCCATTCTAGACAAAATATTTCCCCAAGATTGTCCCTGATAGAGTCTGAGTCTCTAATAAATACGTTCAACCTCTTCTGAGAGGTCAATGGACCTCAGGTTATTGTACCGCCTCTTCTGAATTTGTACGAGTCTATTTCTCTTACACATTCTTTTGTTCCCCACATTCTTTTTTTGAGTCGGAGTCTCACTCTGTCACCCAGGCTGGAGTGCAGTGGCATGCTTACTCATGGCTACCACAACCTCAACCTGCTGGGCTCAGGTGATCCTCCCGCCTCAACTTCCAAGTAGCTGGAACCACCGGCTAATTTTTTGATTTACTGTAGAGATGAGGTCTCACCAAGTTGTCCAGGTTGGTCTCGAACCTGTGGACTCAGGCAATCCTCTCACCTCAGCCTCCCAAAGTGCCAGGATTATAGGCGTGAGCCACCATGCCTGGCACTCCCCACATTCTTAAATGCTAGCTTTTCTCACAACTTTTCATAATTACAGAGCCTGTCAGGTGTTCCTCATCAACCAGTTCCTATAAGTGGCAATGAGGACACGAAAAATGACACACAGTTATGGCATTCCTATGGCCCCTACTCTTCTCTTAGGCCTGTGGAACAAAGTTCCTAGAAGAGAAGCATACCAGTTGCTCACTCCGAGGTGGAATGAGGGAGACGTTAGTTGCCACATATGTGCCAATCACTGTGTTCATGTACTGAAACTGGCTGGACAGGCTGGTCACTGTCACGGGGTAGAAGTTGGAGTTCCTGATCTTCAGAGTGGCCTACATCAGGGCAAATGAGGAAACAAGCATAAGTGTCCAGGGTCCAAGACTGGCAGGTACACACAACCCAGGAAGTGAGACCCTCAGTCTTACCGTCATGGTGAGGATTATAAGGGCGTCCTGTTCATTAAATGTGACTTTCACCACTTTGACCCCGCCATCATCCACAAGGACTGAATGTGGAAACAGGAAGAAAACCACCAAACCAGATGCCAGGAGACAGAGCAGGATGGACAGGAGGACATACTGCTTACTGCAAATGACACAGCACATGACCAATCCGGGCAGTCAGATATCATGTCAGGATTAAATACAAAATTAGGGAAGAATGGGCGAGTGAAAGAGAAGCTCAAAAAGCACAGAATCACAAACCAGTCAAGAAGGAGTGGAGCAGGAGAAGACTTTTTTAAAGTGGTTTGAACACTGTTTGCACTCTGGGAAGAAAAGCTGAAGAGAGGAGCTGTGTGAACAGACGCATTCACACATCTCCCAGAGCACCCCAGTCCCAATTCCTTCCAATCCCATTCCTTCACCAGTCCTCAGAGCATTTCTACTCTCACGTTTCTTGCCCGGATTGTGATGGGGGCAGAGATAAGGCAGAAAAGGAAATCGGGACTTTGTAAGAACAGATGTGATTTTCAAAGAATCAACTGGCATTCATACATAGAGAAAGGGACTAGGGACAGAAGTAGGTATTAGTGGGGAGAGGTAGGTAACTCACGTTCTCTGAGGGCGCAATCTCTGATCACTGTGTGGGATCAAAGCCACCAACTCATTTACTTGCTCTAGACAAGAACCAAACAATTAGACTGTAAATCTTATGTACTTTCCTCCCAATCTCATTTGTGCCTGCCACAGTAAATAGTCTTTTGGAGTGAAATTTTTTTGGTTTTTTTTGATTTATCGTAGAGATGAGGTCTCGCCAAGTTGTCTCAAACCCACGGGCTCAGGCAATCCTCTCACCTCAGCCTCCCAAAGTGCTGGGATTATAGGTGTAAGCCACTGCACCATAAAGCCATGTTATCAAAAATACTAGTGAAATTCACATTTTGGGTCTAATGAACAAGAAACAAGAGGGTGCCACAAATTATAAGACATCTATAAGTGCCGCCAAGGGAGTGACACAGAAGTTGAGAAATCTGGAATCCTGTTCTGACTTTACTAAGACAAAGTTGTTGAAGCTCTCAAGGCCACTGCTTCTTTACCTTTAATACGGAGGCTTTGGAGTGAATGGTTTCTAAGGCTCCTACCAGTTTTAAACTTCTGTGACTCTCCAGTTAAACTGTTAAGACTTTTTGGAGGCCAATTTAGTAACAGATGATCCTGTACCTAATCCAGGCTCCACCCTAAGCATTTGTCTTTCTCTCTATCCCTACCTGATATAGTTCTCAGATCTTGCACTATTAATAATTCACTATCTGCTTCCTTGAAAAGAAGCTTCCGGGATGGTCCCACTACTAAGCTGTGCCTGTCCTTATGAGCGAGAGCAATAAAGAAAAATGCCTGTCAACAAATCCTATAACACAGTTTGCCCTGTGTTATGGGGGGGGGGGGGAGAACAAGAGTGGAAGTGAAGAAAAGAAAAGGCAAAGGAGATCAAGAGAAGTTGTGGAACCTGCCCAAGTCTATCAAATCAACGGAGCTGGCTTCTGTTCAGGGAACTGTCTATGACTATCATGGTATTACTATCTAGAAGAAAAGTCCTCTGGGCACAGACAAGAGAATCCCTGAGGGTACCTTGGGATTCTTGTCAGGGAGTCATCCCTCCTCTGATCATCAAAGATTCTCACCTGTGGGAATACAGCCTGTCCCTTGACAGGTGAGACAGGTGATGCTATCTCTCCCAGTGAACTCCACATATGGGAACTGAGCAATAGCTTCTTCCTGCTCTCGTTCAGCCAGAAACTCCTCCCTGTCATCTTCTTGCTTTTGCTTGCAGGAGAGGGGGCGAGCAGTGGCGGAATGCTGAGACCCCATGGCTGTGATGTGCCACTTGTGTCATGTCCTAGGAAAGGGGCAAATGAGGGCATGTTAGTGTCCACACTGGGTCACGAGAAAAGAAATCGCTTCTTTCTATGAGAACTGGGGAAACACAAAAATGACAAATTGCCACCCTGAGTGTGATCCCAACACCAGCATAATTTTTGTCAAGCCCCTCGTTTTGGAGCAGTGTTCCCCAGTCTCCTCTCACCCCCTACGTGTATACAGCAAGGGGCAAGGGACCCGTTTTCCGCCACCCTGCCCAGTTCTTCACCGCCCTAGGACTCGGGGCAACTTAACTCCCACCCGGTCCCGCCTCTCCCATTCCTCCTCACTATCTGTCAACTCTGTGCTCTCCTCGAGCAAAACCATCCTGGACAAAACAAACAGGTACCAAGTTATAACCCGGCCTTAACGATGCCCAAGCGCCTCCACGCCCCGGCCCGGGAGGCGGGCTCGGGTCACGCCCCCTGGCTAAAAGCGATACTCCGAGCCCACTAGGGTCGCTCAGGTGGGAGTCAACGCCGGCGTCCCGGACCTACAGGACATGAACTCCCCGCAGCTCCTCCCCGGGCCGCTACCCCGGCCATCTGCCAGCGTGAGAGGGCTCACCTGCCTCTTCGGTCCCCGGAGCTGCGTGCGCTCAGTGCGCAAGCGCCGAATGGACAGCCGGCTCCGGGCACGCCGGCGTGCGCTCGCACATGCGCTCTTCGCGACTCGGGGGACCGTAGTCGCTGCAGTACAGCTGTCGCACCCTATCGGCGCCGCTAGAGAGCGGCAGGGCACCGAGGAGGGAGGAAGCGGGCAGCGCCCCGCGCGGCTTGGGCCACGGTGGTCCGCGGAGGCAGGGCGGCGATCCGCTGTTCCCCAGAATCGCTGGGAAAGACTCCACTCAAGTTTCTGCTGCGGAGGAGAGAAGGTGCTGCCGGCTACCAAAGCCATTCTCGACTTTTCTTAGAGCTCAGGGCTGTGTAGACTCTGAGGATGCCAGGATGCGTAACACCCAGGACGTGTCCTCGGTCCCGAGGGGATCCAGAGGCTTCAGCGGACTGTTCCAGTAGTGTAGCTAAAAGTCCTGCTGGAGGGCTCGCAAGCAGGAAGGCTAACCTGAGCTTTGTCAGTGTAGGGGCCGTGGCTGTTGGCCCCCTGAAGTTTCGCTAAAGAGTCACCGGCATGAGGTTAATAGGAGAAAAGGCATACAAGTTTATTTCATGGGTATACATGGGAGCCGTTAGTATGAAGACCCCACTTCCCAGTGAGTTACAGAAACTAAATTGCCATCCCGAGGTTACAGAAAGAATGAGGGCTTGGATTCTGGTAAAAACAGATAATTTGGGAAGAAGAGGAGTGCTATTGAGAGGCAACAGATGATTGCCAGGGAGAATGATTGGATCGGAAAAGAGATTAACTTGCAAATAGTTTTCTTTGGATTTTAAATGATCCTTGGAGACCATTATACACTTTTAAAGGTCTGCTTAAGTTTGCTCACATCTTAGTCTTCATTTCTGCAATGGACGAAGGTATGTGTGTGGGAGGAGATGTTCAGAGACCTTGAGGCTTTCAGTTCAGCATGTCAAAATACCAGGTTTTGGGGTATCTATTTCTGAGCCCCAGCACAAGCCGGGTAGGCACAGGATTCACCTGGGAGTAGATTCATCGTGCTGTAGGGCCTCCTCTTCCCCAGCCCTCCACAAAAAGGTCATGCACATAATCAGAGAACATTTTTTAGTGGGTGAGTTTCTCTGTTCATACTGCCAGGTTGAGTTTAGTGGAAACCAAAACCAAAATTCTAAGCCCCACAACTGACTGAATGGACACCCTCTAGGCCAAGGGAAATCTGAAAACCTAAATTCCAGGCTATGATGGGAAAGGAGTGATACCAGGCATGGTGCGGCACAAAATTTGTGGATTTTTTGGCTTGTTTCTAAACTGAATTTTAGGGCACGCAGCAAAGTTTCAAACAAAGTTAATTAGAGAAAGAGGAGAGAAAAGACAGGGTGACATGCCAGAGCTAGCACGGGCGAAAGAAACCGCCTCTTTGCTCTTTACAATAAATCTGATATACCTTCACAACTATTGAAGGTGGAAGCCTACAGACTGCCACACTAGATATTGACTTCTCTGAGCTCCTGGTGGGAGGGGAGAAAGGGAGTGGTGGTCTTTTTCTCACCACATTGTCTTTTGTGGGAGACCTGTGAGATGTTTCCAATCCACAAGTTCCTTAGCTAAAAGGTGGCCTTGCCCGGGCTTGGTGGCTCAGCCTGTAGCACTTTGGGAGGCCGAGGCGAGTGGATTGCCTGAACCCGTGGGTTCAAGACCAGCTGGGCAACTTGGCAAGACATCATCTCTCATAATAAAAATAAAAATAAAAATAAATTAGCTGGGAGCAGTAGTGCACACCCGTAGTTCTGTCTACTTGGAAGGCTGAGGTGGAAGGAGCCCAGCAGGTCATCACTGGGGTGGTTGTGAGCGTGCCACTGCACTCCAGCCTGGGCTACAAGTGAGACTCAAACTCAAAAAAAAAAAGGTGATCTTATTATCATTTCTACGGCTTTGGCCTGTTAAAGGGTGGTCTTTGAACTTCAGCCCTCAACAGGAAACCTGAAAGTTTCTTAGAAATTTTTATGTTAAACCATGAATTGAAAGATTGGGCTAGGCCTGGTGAGGTGGCTCAGGCCTATAATCCCAGCACTTTGGCCAAGGTGAGAGGATTGTCTGCGTCCACAGGCTCGAGACCAGCCTGGACAACTTGGTGAGACCTCATCTCTACAATAAATAAAAAAAATGAGCCGGGTGTGTTAGCGCACACCTATAGTTCCAGCTACTTGGAAGACTGAGGCAGAAAGATCGCCTGAGCCCAGCAGGTTGAGGCTGCAGTGGCTACTCACAGCTACTGCACTCCAGCCTTGGTGACAGAGTGAAACTTTGACGCAAAAAAAAAAAAAAGAAGAAAGTTTGGGCAACCCTAGTCTTGTATGTGGTGGAGTTTTCTTTTCATTTGCCCATAGGGTAGGGTAGGCTTTTAAAAGTGTCTGAATACTTCCTAAAACCTACCTACTGGAAATGTATCTATCTATGTCTAACCTGTGCTAGCTACCCTGCCTCAAGAGGTTGGACACACCTCATTATATCCCCTTCTTTTTGGAGTTTAGGCCCAACTGACTAGCATTAACATTAAAATAGAGATCATAAGACTGATAAAACACTGTGGTGATGAGATACCAAATTCCAGCCTGTGGTATAGCATCACATGGCAGCAGTGTTGCTGGGTGCAGTGTGGTGTGGTGGTCTGTGAGTTCTTTGACCCACCACAGAAGGAATTCAGAGCAGATCCAGGTATAGTTTTAAGATAGAGGTTTTTTTTTTAAAGACAGAGTTTATGAGAGAAAGAGAGAAGGAAGCATACCTGACAGGCATGGGCATCTTGAAAGAAACACTGAGTGAGCAGTCGCTTTTGACTGAAAAACTTGATATACCTACACAATGATTATTATGTTAAAAAGTGGGCCTAAGTATCTGCTCCTGTGAGATTACCATCTCCTCACCTTTGATGAGTTAAGGAGTGAGCCTTTCCTGAACATGCATTTTGCCTTTAGTAAGAAGCTGGATAGATTTTTACAGTGATTATTATGTTAAACCGTGAACTGAAAGGTGGGCTGATTACCATTTTCTACACCCTTGATGAGCTAAGGAGTGGGCTTGAGCACTTGTCTTCAACAGGGGACTTGATAGACATTTACAGTGAATATTATGTTAATCATGAACTGAAAGGGTGGGCTACACCAGTGAGTCTACATTCCAACCTGTGGGGTGGTCGGGTCTGATGTGCCCATAAGGAAAACTGTTTGAACACTTTCCCTATTTTAAAACTACCTACAAGAAATTTATCTGTCTAACTTGTATTACAATAATCTACTTCAAGCAGGATCTAAAGAAAATAAAAATATTTTACCCCCAAATATGTTTATTTGATATATTTTGGAATAGCTCTGCAGTTATCTCTTGGAGAAATTTGCATCTGTAGACACTCTCCTTCCCTGTAAGGAATCACCTTCCCTAGGTCTCTCAGATCCAGGAGAGGTTTAACCAAGAGTCTGACACCTTTTTAAGACCCCAAAAGAGATATTTACCACCTATTCTTTGAAGCCTGCTTAGAGGCTTCATATATGAAAGGATATAGCATAGAGTCAATATACCCAATGAGCAGCCTTTTTAACATTACTTAGGACTGTCATGTTTCTCTAGCAGTTCAGTTTAATTTACCCTCTAATCCACTAGCCAAGGACAGAACTGGTTTCTCAGAGGTAGCTATTGGTAATTGCTTTACAATCCCCTCCCCAACTTGTTTCATAAATAAGTTAACCTAATCAGCTCTTCATGACCTCCATGACACAGTCAACATGGCAACTGTCATGTGACTAATCCACCCATCTGCCTGTTATGTGACTAACCCATCCATCACCTGACGTCAGTACCTGTGGGTACCTGCCCTCCGTGATGACTTGAAGCAGACCACCACCCAATCACCTTAACCTTTTGAAAATTAACATTTCATTTTCAAAAGTCATCAATATGCCCAAGCACCATATTTTGGGGAATAGTTTTCTGTGCCCCAATAAAGGGAAGATTTTTTTAAAAATCAACTTTAAACATCAGTCACCATTGTTTCATTAAGCACTGACCAGGCCATGTGCTCATTGAGCTATGACCAGGCCGTGTTTTCCTAAGCTTTGCCCCCTCCCTTACCTTGGGAAGGTGAATCTCCTCTCTCTCTCGCTCTCTCTCTCTCTCTCTCTCTCTCTCTCTCTCTCTCTTTAAATAAACCATATTTTCCAATCTAATTTCTGTGTAATACTTTGCATCTTTCACACAGCACTGGATTGTACAACCCCACCCCCGCGGGTCTAACCTAACATTTGGAGGCCCCACTGGGGTATATAGTTTAACCTAACAATATACATAACAAGAGCCTTGGTTTCCACAACTCCCCCTTATCTTAACTCAAGCATTTCTTTCTACTGATTTCAAATTCTTTAGACAGAGCTTAACTCTTTCAACCAACTGCCAATTAAAAAAATCTTTGAGTCCACCTATGACCTGTAAGTCCTCCCCCTTTGAGATGTCCCGCCTTTCTGGCCAAACCAATGTATAGCTTACACATATTGATTTAGGTATCCCTGAAATGTATAAATCAATCTCTAACCCAATCACCTTAGACACATGCTCTCAGGACCTCTTGAGACTATATCTTGGGTCATAATCACTCATATTTGGCTTAAAATAAACCTTTTTAAATATTTTACAGAGTTTGGCTTTTTTTTTAACATTTTCCCAAAGCAGAGGGAAGTGAGAGCAGACATTAAATAGGTGAAGTCACTAAAGATAATGTTGGGGGAGAGGAGACACTCTAAAACTGGATGAGTGAGGGGTCTACTTAGCAATGGAGTGAGGCTGATGACTGACCCTCTAAGTTTTTGCTGTAGGGAATGCCAGTGCACCTGCTGCTGTCTACTCACCTGCCCAACCACAAGCCACAATCAGTCCACTGAGCCTTTAGTAAGTGACAGAGAGCCTCTGCTATCTCTCTCCTGCCTCTGGCCCACATCTTCTCCTTCTTGAAATCTGTTTTTCATCTGTTGGGGCACAGAAAACTATTCCCCAAAATATGGTGCTTGAG